TTTTTTTTTTGAGACCACCCCCTGCCAAGAGCTCACTGTTGTGTTAAAGCTGCTTCCTTGGGGCCTGGGGAGATGGCTCAGTGGAATAAGCACTTGCCTGGCAAGCGCAAGGGCCTCAGTTCAATCCCCAGTTCCACACACACACACAAAAAGCTGCTTCCTTCCCAGCCTTTGACACCATTACTCCACACCATGCGCTCAGAACCCAGTGGCCTCCCAACATCCCACTGCCAAATCCAGTTCACATATTAACTTGCAGATTAAGCTGGCAGCACGTGAACTTTGGGGGGACTTGCAGAAACCCCCACTGGTGTGTCATCCCCCACCCCCACCCCCCGCTGGCTTCCTGTCACTTGCGCTATGGTGTCATTGGCCAAATCGCATGACCCCATGAGCTGCGGGGCCTGGGCCCTTCTCTAGCGATGGGTAAGGTGGAAGGAGCAAGAGATGAGAGAAACAGAGGAAAGAACTGCGCCACCTCACCCTGGTCAAGGCCAGCCCGAGTTCCATTGTGAGACCGCCTCAAAAAAAACTTTGAGCCTCGTCCAGGTCTTGGCCTGACGCAGCTAGAATCCCAGAGAACAGGGAGACCTAGCCAGGGTCAGTAGCCTGAATCCTCTACCATGTGACAAGAGACAGCACACCCCCATCCTGGAGGTGTGCGCTCGCAGGCCTGTGATGCGCTCACTCTGCAGTCCAGGCTGGCCTTGAGCTCACTTTGTAGCCCAGCGTGGTCTTCATCACAATGCATGTGCTGCCTGCCCAGCTTCATTTTTTAATTTTGAGAGAGGATCTTGCTCAGTTGCCCACACTGAGCTCAAACTTGCAATCCTCCTGCCTTAGCCTGGCCAGAGTACTGGGTTGCCAGCCATGTGCCACCACACCCAGGTACACAGGCATGATCAAAGATGAGGTGTGCTAGGAAGGCAGAAAGCGCAGGGCAGTCCGTATTCCGGGAAGGTGCCCAACCAGCCTGTGGGTGCCTGGAGGGTGTGAGACTGGCAGTGGGAACCTGCCCAATGCAAGTGTCATTGGTACCGAGTTGATTTTTTAAAGAATGATTATTGTACATACTAACTCACCTAGGCAAGCCAGGCTTGGTGGTGCATGCCTGTGATCCCAGAACTCGGGAGGCTGAGGCAGGAGGGTCACTGTGAGTTCCAGGTCAGCTTGGGCTACATAGTGAGCTCAAAGCCAGCCTGGACTGTATTGTAAGATCTTGTCTCAAAAAATAAAAAAGTAAAAATTAAAAAAACTCACCTGGGCCAAGTGGCCCACACCTATAATCCCAGCACTCTGGGAAGCTGAAGAGGGAAGATCAAAAGATTGAGCCCAGCCTGGGGAACTGAGTCCAAGGCTAGCCTGAACTACATAAAAAAGACCCTGTCTCAAAAAGCTGAGGCAGGGGCTGGTGAGATGGCTCAGTGGTCTAAAGCACCTACTTAGAACAAGCTTAGCAAAGCATCAGGGACCGCGGTTCAATCCCCCAGCACCACATGCCAGCCCGCCCCGCCCCCTGGTGGGCTGAGCTGGCCACACACACACACACACACACACACACATAAATAAATAAAATTAAAACAGGTTTGTGTGGCCATAAATACATTAAAGATCTCTGGACGATATCCTGGGGAGAGCCCAGCCCCACCCACCTGCACCCGGTCACAAGGGTCCCATGATAGAGTTGGAGTAAGAGGCCATGTGAAGCCCGAGGCAGACTGGCCACAAACTGGACAAGGCCAGCAGTTACCAGAAGCTGGGACAGTCACCAGGGCTCCTGCCCAGAGCCTGCAGGGGGAGCGTGGCCCCACCTGACCTCGACTTTGGCTCTAGCCTCCAGCCTGTTGAGAATGAATGCCTGTTGCTCAAAAGCCACCAAACTCCTAATCATGTGTCACATCAGCCACAGGAAGCTAGCAGCCCTCCAAGCAGGAGGGTGACAGTGAGCAGGGCAGCAGCACCAGGGCGGGTTGCCTGAGGCCAGCGAGGCCCAGGCGGCTTTTGACAGTGTCTTTTTGCTTGTTTTTGGTTCTGAACATGGCACCCAGGGCCTTTCCACCGAGCTAAAGCCCAAGCCCCCTTTCTTTTCTTTCTTTCTTTCTTTTTTTTTTTTTTTAGATAGGGTCTCACTGAGTTGCCCAGTCTGGGCTTGAACTTGTGATCTTCCTGCCTCAGCATCCCAGAGTGCTGGGATTATGGATAACGGGCATGCACCACCAAGCCCAGTTTAGCATCTTTTTTTTGGTGGAACCAGGGGTTGAACTCAGGCCCTTGCACTTGCCAGGCAAGCACTTATTCTACTGAGCCATCTCCCCAGCCCCATCATCTTCATTTTTAGTTATTTATTTTTGTGTATTTGGTACAGGGTCTCACTATACAACTCAGACTCCTAGTGATCCTGTTTTCAGCCTCCCCTGCACTGGGATTATAGGCATGCTCCACCATGCCAGATCTTGGTGGCCTGTTCAGTGTGCCTGGGGGGCAGGTCCACACAGCATGTTGTGCCAGGGATCGAACCCTGGTGCCTGTACTTACCTAAGGAGGCACTTAGACTGCTGAGCTATCTGGCTGGCCGTAGCATCTTCATTTTAAAATAGCATTATAGAGCTGGGTGTGGTGGTACAGACCTGTAATCCCAGCACTTGAGAGGCTATTGCCAGTTCAAGACCAGCCTAGGCTACGTAGTCAGCTCAAAGCCAGCCTGAGCTGCATAGCAAGATCCTGTCTCAAAAATACAGCATTTTACAACTGCAATGAAATCAGCATTTCTGCCGTGACCTTGAGGCATCTGCTGGGCCGAAACCCACCTGCCTCATGCTGCCAAGCCCACAGCATGAGCAGATGGCATAGTGAAGCCTCAGCCTGCACCCCCGCTGTTCAGTGGCTGTGCCCTCTGCATGGGTTAAGGGCACCACCCCCACAAGCCTACCCTCGCTCCAGAAGCCCCTTGTGCGTCTTCAGGGCACCTGTACTTTTTTTTTTTGTACAGGGTCTCTCTACACAGCTCAGACTCATGCTGATCCACCTGTCTCAGCCTCTCCAGCTCTGGGATTATTACAGGCATGTGCCTCCACATCCAGTTTCAGGGGGTGACTCAGCACTGGGCCAGCACTGCATGTGGTACTGGGGATCAACCCTGGGTCCTTGTGCTTGCCAGGCAGGCGCTTAGACCGCCAAGCTGTCTCCCCAAACCTCACCTGTACTTCTGAGCAACTGGATACAAATGCAAGGGTTCCCATGGTCTCCAGAACTCACAAAAATGTCAGGAATGGTGGCACACCTCTGTAATCCCAGCACTTAGGAGGCTGAGGTAGAAAGATCTCAGTAAGTTTGAAGCCGGCCTGGACTAGAGTTCAAGAGAAGCCCCCCCCCCAAAAAAAAAACACCAGGGCTGGGGAGAGAGATAGCTCAGCAGTCTAAGTGCCTGCCAGGCAAGTCCAAAGACCCAATTTTGATCCCCAGTACCACATACCGCTGGCCCCAAAACCGGGCCTGGTGGTGCACGCCTATAATCCAAGCACTGGGGAAGCTGAGACAGGAGGATCACTATGAGTCTAAACTGCATAGCAAGACCCTGTATCAAACAATTTTTTTTTTCAGAGGCGGGGGTGGAATTTAGGACCTTGAGCTTGCCAGGGAAGCGCTTATTCCACTGAGCCATCTCCCTGGCCCACCTCAAATAATTAAAAAAAAAATGAAATTTAAAAAAAATTCACAAGGGCTGGTGAGATGGCTCAGTGGTCTAAAGCACCTACTTAGAACAAGCTTAGCAAAGCACAGGGACCGCGGTTCAATCCCCCAGCACCACATGCCAGCCAGCCCCGCCCCCTGGTGGGCTGAGCTGGCCACACACACACACACACACACACATAAATAAATAAAATAAAAATTAAAAAAAAAATTCACAAAATTCCAGAAAGTGCTACGTTACAGCCATAGTTCTACTATAAAGAATACAGCTCATTGGGCCAGCCAGATAGCTCAGATTAAAGCACCTAATTAGGCAGACTGGGGGTGGTTGATTCCTGGCCAGTGCCGGCAGTACCCCCAGGGCACACTGAAATGGCGATTGAGACTAGGCGTGGTGGTGTACACCTGTAATCCCAGCATTTGGGAGGCTGAAAAACAGGAAGGATCACTAGGAGTCTGATCTGTGTAGTGAGACCCTGTGCTAAATACATTTTTTTCTTTTTTCTTTTTCTTTTTTTTTTTGGTGGGAACCGGGGATTGAACTCAGGCCCTTGTGCTTGCCAGGGAAGCACTTATTCCACTGAGCCATCTCCCTGGCCCCCATTTTTTTAAAAAGCAAGAAAAATACAGATCATTGGCTCTTGAGAGATAGCTCAGCAGCATAAGCACCTGCCTGGCAAGCACAAGGTCCTCAATTCAATCCTCAGTACCAAAAATAATCACAAGCAGGTATGGTCGTGGTCCATACCTGTAAGCCCAGCTACTTAGGGTAAGCCAGGATGATGGCTGTGAGCTCCAGGGCCAGGCTGGGCTGCACCTTGAGTTCAAGGCCAGCAGGTACTACATAACAAAATCCTGTCTCCATTTTTTTTTTTTTTTTTTTTTTTTCAGTACCAGGAATCAAATTCAGGACCTTGCACTTGCCAGGCAGGTGCTGTTCCACTGGGGGGAAATTTTTTTAAGGAATTTTTACTGGGTCTTCAGTAGTTGGGTGCACTCTCCCACCCTTCCCATGCTCAGGGTGGAATCTAAGCACGTAACCTGTCTTCCAGGCATGCCCAGCCCCTTTTCCTGACTCACCTCCAAAAAAAAACCCAGGGGCGGAGGTGTGGCCAGAGAGGCAGTGACACCCCTATGGTTGGGGAAATTCCAGGAGTTTACCTGGGCCAAGACCAGCCTGTACTCTGTTACACAACTGAGGGGAGAAAGAAAGTGGCCCAGTCTCACGCACTCCTGCATACATCAACAAACATTTGTGAGCTGGGCATGGTGCTACACACCTGTAATGCCGGCACTGGGAGGCTGAGACAGGAGGATGGAAACTTCAAGGCTAGCCTGTGCAATGTAGCAATTTAGGGAGATCTTTAAAAATGGGGGGGGGGGCAGGATACAGCTCAGTGGCATAAGCTCCTGCCTGGCAAGCACAAGGTCCTGAGTTTGATCCCAGGTACCGCCAAAAAATTAATTAATTAATTAAAAATAAGGGGGCTGGGCATGGTGGTGCACCCCTGTAATCCCACAACTAGAGTCTGAGGCAGGAGGATCATTGAGACTTGGAGACCAGGCTGGGCTACAAAATGAGCTTAATTCTAGCCCTTGAGAGGTTGAGGTAGCGTTCAAGGTCAGCCTGGGCCACAAGGTGAGTTCAAGGCCAGTTTGAACTGTGCTGTGAAACACGGGGCAGGGGAGATGGCTCAGCGGAATAAGTGCTTCCCTGCAAGGGCAAGGGCCTGTGTCCAATCCCTGGTTCTGG